GGAGGAGCGTCTCAGTTCTGGTGTGCCTGGTTCTTCTTGAACTGCTTCAGGATTGATCTGAACATCATTTCCAGAAATCTCCTCGAACTCAGCAAATTCCTTTGTTTCAGCTTCGGTATTACTTGATTCTGCGGTTGACCTATCTTTGTACATCACATTTCATTGAAAATGACGTCTCTGCTTCTGATGACTTCCGATTTTCATAGTCCCAAAACCGGTAACCGAACTCATCACCGCCATAACCAACAAAAGCACATTTGTTGGACTTAGCATCAAGCTTACTTCTTTCAGCAGAGTCTATGTGTACATAAGAAATACAACCAAACACTCTTAAGTGTGAAAGGTTTATTTCTTTCTTGCTCCAAACTTCCTCTGGTATTCTGCCATCCAAAGGAACTGAGGGCCCACGGTTGATCAAGTAAGCTGCAGTGTTGATTGCTTCAGCCCATAGAAATTTGGGCAAGCCGGCATGTATCCTCATACTTCTGGCACGTTCATTCAGAGTTCTGTTCATGCGCTCTCTACACCATTATGTTGCGGTGTCTTGGGAACTGTTGTCTCCATCTTGATCCCATTGTTTGCGCAGAAATCTCTGAATCTACTGTCTCTGTACTCTCCTCCATTGTCAGACCTCAACCGCTTGACTTTCAAACCAGTCTCATTTTCCACCATGGCCTTCCATTTTCTGAAGATATCGAAGACTTCTGATTTCTTCTTCAGAAAATAACCCACCTTCCTTGTTGAATCATCGATGAAGGTGACATAATATAGTGAGCCTGCAAGAGATGGAACTGGGGATGGTCCCCATACATCAGTAACCAATTCTAACCTTTCTGTCTTGGGTGTCTTGCCAATCTTTGCAAAACTGACTTTCTTTTGTTTGCCAAAGATGCAATCCTCGCATAGTCCGACATCTACATTCTTTAGATCCGGTAGCTTCCCTTTTGACAAAAGTGTCTTCATCCCTTTCTCGCTCATATGGCCAAGCCTTTGGTGCCATAGGTTTGATTTTCCATCAGCATCTGCTACTGCAATGATATTCTCTAAATTTGAGGTTACATAGAGAGTACCATCTTCTTACCACGAGCAATGACGAGTGCTCCTTTGGTAATCTTCCATTCACAGCCTGAAAAGGTTGTGCTATATCCTTCTCCATCAAGCTGTCCAACAGAAATCAGATTTCTTTGAGGCCAGGAATATGTCTCACTCCTGTCAGCTTCCAGGTGGTCTGGTTTGGCAACTTTAGTCGGATGTCTCCTTTTCCGACGATCTTTAAGGTTTCATCATCAAGATGAACCTTCCCAAATCACCACTGACATAGTTCTCCATGATTTCTTGGCATGGGGTGGAGTGGAAGATGCCCCTGAATCCAAGATCCATGATTCAATCGGACTGTTGAGCTTAGAATCATAGCATCACCTGTCTCCTCTGTCACGTTGGCAGATTCCTGTGCACCGGTATCTTTCTTCAGTGCTCGGCAATCTCTTTTAAAGTGACCTTCTTTGCCACATTATAACAGGTAAATCTTTCTTTCCCGTTCTAGATTTTTCCCGTCTGGATTTTGATCTGCCACGATTTGAATATCTTTCTGAAGTTCTTCCTCTAGACTCCGTTGCAAGGCTGATGAGGTTGATGCTTCACCCGATCTCCGTCGAATTTCTCACTCAGTACCAGATCCCGAACATCGTCGAATTTTAATTTGCTGTTTCCCGACGAACTGCTGACTGCTGTAACAGTAGCATTCCAACTGTCTGGTAGAGATGATAAGAGAATTAAGCTCGAACTCATCATCGAACTCAATTTCCACTGAACTCACTGGTTGTGATTGTGTTGAGTTCATTTAGGTGTTGTGCCACCGATGACCCTTCCGTCATCCGCAAATTGAATAATCGCCTCATCAAATGAACTTTGTTTGAGGCCGATGGCTTCTCATACATACTGGAGAGAGCCGCCATAAGACCCGCCGTGGTCTTTTCCTTTGCTATGTTGAAAGCAACATTTCGGGACAAAGTCAGTCGGATGACTCCGAGGGCTTGTCGGTCGAGAAGAGCCCAGTCTTCATTCTTCATGCCCTCTGGTTGCTTTCCTGAGAGAGGTTGATAAAGATTTTTCTGGTACAGAAAATCTTCAATCTGCATCTTCCAAAAGCCAAAGTCCGCACCATCGAACTTTTCAATTTTCACCTTCGTCTGCAGCCATCGCTTCCACTCGAATCTGGCTCTTTTGGATCGTTCTGACAATTCTTGCGAACCACCGTGTATTAGAACACCACCGTCGACAAACTCGTATCGCCGACCGAAATTTCACTATTCACGAAATTCACTATTCACGTGAATAGTAATGAATAGTAACCTCGCAGAAAATTGACAAAATTCACAACCAAAAGCTCTGATTACCAGTTAGGAAAATAAACCGAGTACAAGTAATTTCCCTATAACCAGATTAGTGAGAATGCGAAATAAAGTGGAAAAATAATACCCAAATTGATAACGGAGTTCAGCCAATTGTGCTTACGTCTCCGGGCTGCTGCAGATCTTTTACTAAGAGAGAAAATTTACAGGTGTTTACAAAACACTCACTACTCACAAGAAAGCTCTCTAGTATAGGAAGAAAGAAATGTTTTGGGATGATTTTGAAGCTAAATGGGTAAGGGTATTTATAGTAGAAACTTAGGGACTAATCTTTGAAAATACCCTAAGTGCAATGACTAAAGTGAATTTACCCATTCCTATTTTCACAAACATTTACCAAAATTTTACCAAACTTTGAAAAACATTTTTCAAAGAAACATTTACCAAACTTTGAAAAAAACATTTTCCAAAGTTGGTTGCCAAACTTTGAAACTTTTAACACCCATCATCCTCATCGGCGTGAAAATCATAAGCAGAAACTTCTGCAGCAGTGTAGAAATGACTACAAGAAGACGATAAAAGAAACTGTCCTGTCTTGAGAAAGAGGATTCGATGAATTTCCTCTTACTCAAATCACCGGAAAACAAGAGTTTAGCAATATCAAAGAAGGAGGCTTCATTGGGTTTATATCATAATGTGTACAATAGTCATGGCTGCGGGTTTTGGCTTCCATGGTTGGTTTCTGGGTTTATGCGTAATCTGGCAATCTGGTTTGGTCCCAAATTTATAGGCAAAATGATAAGTGAACTTTAGGCAGCTGGCGGCTGGGAAAAGGTATCCCTATTTCTTTGGAACAGTAAATATATTTGTCCATGTGTATTTCATTTCTTTAGTAAATCCGCCGCCGGGCACTGCTTTTTGGACATTTAATCGGGATTTAGCCATTTTCTTCCACCGTTTTCAAAAAAAAAATAGTGATTTTCTTCTACGAAGCTCTAAAACAAACAAAAGAATAATACAGCGTGCGAATTGATGAATGTGTTGTGTGTGCAAAGTCATATTCATTGGTAGAACTCAGAAGTTACACGGAAATTCATTTTTTTTACCTTGTTTTTCTCGTTGAGCTTAATTTTATAGATTAAAAAATCAAATTGAATTGACTGTATTTGTAATTATCGCCGGTTCAACAGTTATTATTTATTTTTTTATTCTATGATATAGTCCAACTGATTGATATAAAAGCACAGTTAAGAACTGACACCAACAAACATAACATCTATAATCTCTTTTACTTGAACAGCGCTTTTTCATATAAAATTTTAGGTAAATTACACGGGTGACCACTTAACCATGATCAAATATCATTTTGACCACCAATGTTTCAATTTGATCAAACATATCATTCAACTATTTAAATGTTTCCATCAAGCCACATGCGTTAACAGTTAACGGAACAGGTGACGTGGCAATTAAAACGTTTTGTATAATTACAAAATTGGTCCATATATATTCTTTCAAATTGGTATCCATTTTAATAAATTAAAATAATGAAGGGTAAACTACGACAATGGTCACTGATGTTTGGGTTTGTATTTATTTTCATCATTGATGTATAAAAAGTCACAAACCGATAACTAATGTTATTGTTTGTTACAAATCGATTACTAACGTTATTGTTTGTTACAAATCGACCAATCCACGTTAATGGCTGTTAACACGTGTAATAGTAATCACAACTAGATCGTTATATGCTGACTTGGACTGTCACGTTAGAACTTAGACGGCGAAATGGCTCCAACGGTCACTTCTTCTTGTTCTTGATGGCTTGCAAGGATGTCGAGAATCGCCAATGCTTCGTCCACCATCCCACCTTAGGCGTCCTTCAGTAGTCTCATCAATGGTGGCACAATACCAGCCCTAACAGCCCTCGCCTTGTTTCCTTGATAGATCGAAAGATTGAAAATGACAGTCGCGGCATCTTTCTTTCCTCTCGGAGATCCTTCACAAAGAAGCTTATAAGGGCGGGAATAGAACCGGCGGCATCGTTAGCTACCTTGTTCTCGTCTACAACTGATAAACTGAAAGGTAATATAATCAGGTCTTGGATTTTGCAATGGCGAAAAGTTCCTTCAAGCTTGAACATCCTTTGGGTTAGTTCGTCAATCCCCTAATCTTTTTCTGTATTTTTTTCCTGCTTGACTGGATTATTGTTCGATTTGATTTGGGCATGCTTTGTTTTATCATTTTGGTTTGAAAATTTGATCTTTCTTTAAAAAAATATTAGCGATTCTTATTCTTAATATGCTACCTTGATGTGGAATATCGTATGGGAATTTTTGTGATCATAGCTCCGGAGGGTGAAGATATGGGCCCTGGGGTTTCTGAGAGTATTATTACCGAGTTAATAGAATGTAATGCAGCTCTATCACAACAGCGTAAAAAGCGCCAGGTACTCCTCATCCTGTTTAGTTTGATTAACTCCGGCTATGTCTTTGTTGACGATGTCTTCATGTCTTCTTTTTACCTCCCTCCCTCCAATCACTTTCATGTGTTTTCTTTTCAGATTCCCCCAACGTTGGCTCCTATCGATGCTTTTGAGAGGTATAACCAACTTTCTAGCCATCCCCTTCACAAGACAAATAAACAAGGGATCGCTTCAATTGATATCAATCTTTCAAAGGTGCGTGTTTTCCTTTAAGATAATCCTTTTCATGTAACTACATTCTTTCCTACACTTCTCTAGGTTATACTTGGTTGTTTAGGACATTCTTCAAATCTGGTTCATTTTTTTTAGGACATTGTTGCCACAGGAGGAATTGATTCAAGTGCTGTAATCTTTGACCGAACATCTGGATTGATCTTATCAACTCTAAGTGGCCACTCCAAGAAGGTTTACTCTGTTTCTTTTATATTTTGAAGGGATGCTGTTTACGTATTTTCTTTTGAACGTTATTCTCCGACTCCATTCTTTTAGGTTACAAGTGTAAAATTTCTAGAATATCGTATGGGAATTTTAGAAAGTTGGTAACATTGGATCAATTTGGGGTAATTTGATTGTATTGCTTTCGAACTGAATGAATATTTCTTGGAGATGTTCATCGTTTTTATATATCGTATAAGACCTTTCATATGTCTGTAAACGAAAGCAAAATAATCCAGAATATTGGTACCAACCAAAAAGATTAGAATATCCGGACGTTTTTCCAAAAAAATTACCGGTGATCGGTATATTTACCGATCTAACACCGATCAGACTATATTTCATGATCTAACACCCTTTGCAGTAAGGCGCCCCTTGCAGCGCGCTATACGTTGATTTGGCGCCACGTGGGGTAAGGCGCGCCCCCTGCGACGAGCCTTATGCTGACATAGATACACGTGTGTATGGCGCGGGGCATGTTGGTAATTAAGGGTATAGCGCGGCGCATGGGCCGCGCCTTATCTGTGATTCTAACACTCGTCAAAAAGGCGCGGCCCCTGCGGCGCGCTATACTCTTAATTATCAAATTACTCCCGCCCGTTCACACCCACCATCCCTCTCTATAAATACCCCATTCTCAATCACTTTAATCACACCAAATCCTCTCAACTTCTCTCAAATACTCTTATATTCTCTTATTAAGATATATTTTATTATAGTTAGTATTTTTTAGTAATTTATTTAATTACTTTAATTGTTTAATATTTTATTTAATTAATTTTTTTTGCAGATATAAAATGGAAGGTGGTCTACTTTGGTTGGATGAAAATAATATATCTCGACACTTTCTTGATACGGTAACATTTTAATGTTTTAATTTAATTAATTAATTAATTTAATGCATGATTAATAGTTTGAAAATTATTTTGTAATTATTTATATTTTAGGAGAGAGACCGTATATTAGATCCTTTTTTTAGGAACCTTAAGTTAGTTATACCTACTCGTGTAATATCGTATTTAGTAGAGGCTGGATTCGGTCACCTAGGTAGATATCAGGGTCACTGTAAGATATAATCAGACCTTATTTATGCCTTAGTAGAGCGGTGGAGGCCGGAGACCCACACATTCCATCTTCCGTGCGGAGTGTGCACGATCACGTTTGAGGATGTTCCTATGCACCTGGGGCTTCCGGTGGATGAAGGTGTGATATCAGGGATAACTTCCGGTTCTTGGACTACTTTGTGTCGGGTTAGTCTAGGACATGTCCCGGAAAATTTTAACGGTGGACGGATACCATTAAATTGGTTAGATGCCAATTTTCGGGAGTTGAGCGAGGACGCGTCTGACGATGAAGTTAAACAGTATGCACGGGCATGCATACTGTAGTTGATAGGAGGGTTGCTGATGCCGGACAAATCGTGCAACCAAGTTCATTGTATGTGGTTGCAATATCTTGGCGACTTTCATCTGGTCGGATCACTCAGTTGGGGCTCGGCAGTTTTGGCTTGCTTGTACAGGGAGATGTGTCGAGCCATTTACTACAGGCGTAATGATATCGGCGGATGTCTCTTGCTGCTGCAGTCTTGGGCATGGAATCAATTGCCCTTTTTATGTCCCGTTGTCAAGAACCCATTCGTATTTCCGTTACTCCTGAGGTAATTATAAAACTGATTTTGTATATTAATAATTTTATACAGTGAATAAGAAATTATTTTTCTTGAATAGGTGGTCTACTGATAGGAAAAATCATCAGGAGCTACCTGATGATTTAGAAAAAAATTAGGGTGTTAATCGATCAGAATGCTGGCACACATGTATGAATTTTAATGTTTAAAAATCGATTTTAGATTATAGTTATATAATTAGATTATTATTTTGATAAAAATTATATATATTTGTTTTAGTTTGAATGGGTGCCATATTCTACTGATGATGTGAGGGCGGTGATCCACCTAAGTTGAGGGGCCCATCAGATGTTTGGATGGCGACAGTCCCCTTAATCTGTTATGCGACCATCGAGTGGCACTCCACTGATTGCGTGCTCCGGTAATTTGGTTGTTTTCAACAAATTCCGGAAGCACCTCGCAATATGGATGAGTTGCATAGCACATATAGACGCGGCAAGACATATACAGATTGGCTGGTGAGGCATCATGCGTGGGTCGTGTTATGGGAGGATCGACATCTTCCCCGTAGAGAGCCCATTTTACTTGACCTCTTGATGGTTGCTGACGGTTATTACGAGTGGTTCAACAGTAACGGGAAACCGTTTATGTTTCCCAAGGATGCACGAGGGCAGACCTTTCCCGAGGAAACCGACACAGCACCATCGTCCCCCGACTCGTGGACGAAGAGCAGGTGCTTCCAGTTCATCCTCAGCTACACCAGAAGGACCTTCACAGCAGCCACCGTATCCAGCGACTTTCATACCGCAGCCATATATGATGCCACCACCGCCTTTCCATTACCAGATGTCGTTGCCACCGCCTTCACCTGCTTTTGTGACCCCGCCGCCGCCACCATCACAGATTACCCCTCTTGGAGGCTATTATGGGTCTATGTTTGTAGATCCGACTTGGGTTCATATGTTAGATATTTGGCGGGTTCATCCTCATCACCCATGGTCGCAGCACAGACACCTCCTGTACAGTTTTCACACTCAACGATGTCTGGGTTTTATGAGTTTTCCCAGTTTTCACAGGCCGGTGGGATAGTCAGTCATACACCTACAGGGTCCTTATTATATAGAGGTGCTTCATCTTCATCAGCTCCTCATCAACCTAATGTACCTACTCAAGACGACGACGACGATGACGACGATGATGGTGATGACAGCGAGGAGTCACAACCAGTGATACGAAGAAATCCTCCTCGAGACCGACAGTCACCGCCCTGCAGAACACTTTCGCGTCGTAGGCATCGATAGATTTTGTTTTTTATTGTATTTGTATTTAGTTTATTGGACTTTTTAATTGTAATTTTTTTATTATTTCTCATTTAATACTTACTTTATTTTATTAAATTTGTTTGATTTTTTTAATTTATTTCAGTTAATTTTGTTTATTACCATTTAATATCAGTTATTGTAATTTGGTTATCATTTACCATTTAATACTTATTGTAAGTTTGTTGTATTTAAAATTAGAGAAAATAACCTCAGTGACCAAAAATCTTAGATAATATACGATTTTGACCAACTTTTTTTGGATTTGCGAAAATGACCAACAAAATCGCAATGCGATCTCTAATTCGCATTGCGATCTCCACTATCGCAAATTCACGTTGCATTTCGCATTGCGATAGTTGAAAATCGCGTTGCGTTTTTCCATTTCGCGTTGCGATAGTTGGAGATCGCGTTGCGATTTTACATTTCGCGTTGCGATAGTTGAAATCGCAACGCGATCTCCATCATCGCAAATTCGCGTTGCATTTCGCGTTGCGATAGTTGAAAATCGCGTTGTGGTTTTCCATTTCGCATTGCGATAGTTGAAAATCGCGTTGCGATTTTCCATTTCGCGTTGCGATAGTTGAAAATCGCGTTGCGATTTTCCATTTCGCATTGCGATAGTTGATTGCGATTTTCGATTTCGCGTTGCGATAGTCTACAGTCGCGTTGCGATTTTCCATTGCGCGTTGCGATAGTCTACAGTTGTCGTTACGATAGTTAAAAAAAAGATTTTGTTTCTTAAGAATTTTCTCTAAAAAGATAGTATACGCGCGGACGTGTCGAAGACACGTATTACCACGACCACGACCCGACCCGACCCGACCCGAGACGGACGGCGGCGGCGGTGCGCGAGAGTCCCCCTTGTTCTCTATCACTCAACAATGAAGTGGGAAAGCCAAGCCTTAAATACCATTCCCAATAGTATTTCCAATACAATGTGGGATTGAGCATTACCAACACTTGTTTCCAATACAATGTGATTATTCAGAAAACAATTAACAATCATGCACCTTAAAACAACTGAATCAACAACCAATTACATTAGTAATATACGATTAAATATGTCATAATTAAAAGTCAATCTACAATCAATCGCGATTATTGTAATTTTAAGCAAAACATTCAAAAATAATATCACTATTTAAGGCTCAATCCCACTTAGTATTGGGAACAAGTGTTGGTAATGCTCAAATCCCACATAGTATTGGAAACACTATTGGGAATGGTATTTAAGGCTTGGCTTTCCCACTTCCTTGTTGAGTGATAGAGAACAAGGGGGACTCTCGCGCGCCGCCGCCGCCGTCCGTCTCGTCTCGGGTCGTGGTCGTGGTCGTGGTCGTGGTCGTGGTAATACGTGTCTTCGACACGTCCGCGCGGATACTATCTTTTTAGAGAAAATTCTTAAGAAACAAAATCTTTTTTTTTAACTATCACAACGAATTTGGAAAATCGCAACGACAACTGTAGACTATCGCAACGCGAAATGGAAAATCGCAACGCGAATTTCAACTATCGCAACGCGAAATGGAAAATCGCAACGCGACTGTAGACTATCGCAACGCGAAATGGAAAATCGCAACGCGATTTTCAACTATCGCAACGCGAAATGGAAAATCGCATTGCGATTTTCAACTATCGCAACGCGAATTTCAACTATCGCAACGCGAAATGCAACGCGAATTTGCGATAGTGGAGATCGCAATGCGAATTAGAGATCGCATTGCGATTTTGTTGGTCATTTTCGCAAATCCAAAAAAAGTTGGTCAAAATCGTATATTATCTAGGATTTTTGGTCACTGAGGCTATTTTCTCTTAAAATTATTTTGAAATACCAAATTGTTAGATAACTTTCTTAAGTTTGTCACTTATTATCTCTTTTATTATAATCACATATAACTTAAACATCTAATCTCGTATTATTGTATCATTTTTTTAATTTTCATCAACGATTATCGAATGACATTAACTTGAAGTAAATGCAAATTAAAGTACAATAATTATTATTTGATAAACAAATACATCATTTCTACATCAATTGTTACTTGATGGCAATAGAAGTGGACATGTTTTTCTAGTGTGTCCTGGGTTTCTACAATGCCCACATCTTCTGTCTTGTCTAGACCTTTCTCGAATATCCATATCGCAATGAATTCGATTGG